AAATCGAATGACAGGTGCGTTAAATATGCAGTTTGTCGTGTTCATGCGGAGATCCAGTTCACTGAGTCGATGAAGGATTTTTGTAAGCGCAAGTCATGTTCTTCCGGCGAATGACCGAAGACACGAGAACGTCCAAGTAGACAAGCTGTCCATCAACACTAGCCAGAGCTTGAGTCATGAACCTCTGCAAGGCAGCAGTGCTGAGCTCAGACTCATGGTTAAAACTTTGTACTGAAACAATCCAACAGGGGCTAGGAAGGCGGTAAGGGGTTTGGAGTCATCAGTTAAAGAAAGGCATGTGGCAAAACACACTGTTTAAATCCAGTTTAAATCCAGTTGCACCAGAAATGCGGACTGTTGGCTCATCACAAGAAGGTAGCACATAGCTCTCGACGAATATCTGTCTGTTTAGACCCTGTAGCTCATTAGATATCCGGAGAGTGCTGCCGTTTTCAAATCACGCACCGTTAGATGTACCCACTCAGAGCAATCGATGGGTGCGAATAGATAGTTCGCTAAGTTGTCCTGTAAGGCTGCTGAAACATCTTTAAGCTTCGCAAGTGGAATCAGTCGATGTTAACTAATGTAAACATGTCTCGCATCCTGTTTCAGCTGGATGCGATGAACGTCCTATGATATATGTCCGGCAGAATGTTGAAAAATCTTTGGATAGCGCTATTGCCAGCATGTTACTCCAATGGAGAAAACAATCATTCGATCAAAAGGTGGCTCTATTGCGTTCCTCCCAAGCATAGGCCGCTTGCTTTTGCTAAAACTCATACCGCGGCATCCGCAGTTACTAGGCCGATTCGGGTGGGTACGATGAGAAAACCAAGAATGATTGAGCGGTCAGATTTTAAGGGTATTCAGAACAGTAACGTTTATAGATACTGGAGGGCACAATAGTAACAGCAGACGTGAACTTCACTTCGATTTCTTGTGGAATAAAACCTTTGTTCGTAGGGAATAAGGCAGATCAAATATCTGCAGAGGAAAGCTTGGGTCCAACAACAGATATCATCACATTTCTAAATTATCTGACATCAACAGTGCATGAGTAAACATATTGCTCTGCTGAATCGGCTATGTAGTGCTTGGGAACGGAGTCCTTTTCAACGAGTGGGTTACGTTGAAATTGGCAACAGAGAGCAGTGTCCAAGTTTTCCACAGTTGTACATTTGATATGGCGGGTTGGACCAGAGGAGAATTTATCCCAGTGAGAGGTGCTACCATTGCAGTTGCACGGTGGTTTACGCCCTAGTAAGGGATGAGTAGGCTGTATTTTTGTTACATCGGTCGTTTTGATTACAAAAACCTATTTTGCCTTCAGAGCAACCTCCAGCTTCTTTCTAGCCAAATCTCAGGCTCGATCCCAGCTTAGAGTTCAGGTGCAATTCTGTAGAAATATTTCATGTGTACGGTTAACAACAACTCTATGGATCAACTGTTGCGTCAATATGCAGCCTTCGAGCTTTTTCTGCGGAATAGAAGTGTAGTCGCAAGGCCCCACTGCACGGTTAAGTCTAGTGAGCAAAGCATTCTGATATTCTCTCTGCCCCTGTTGCATGCCGGCAAAGACGTACTTTGCATTGAACAGATTCATTTGAGATACACTAATGCGATTGAGAGCATTGAATGTGTCACCGTCCGATTGGAGGTTTAGGTCCTCAAACTGCCGTTGCCTCTCATCTTCAAGCCAGTGACGAAGCAACTTTAACCTGTTTTCCTCTCTGCTTGGAGACCATATAATCGTCATCATCATCAATATACATGTCAGCTAGGGATGGTGAAACACCTCCGCTATTGTACCGCAATAGCGAATCCAGGTGTGTGACTTAAGCCTGTTCCCACAATCAGTCAAAAATGCCGATGGCAGAATTGAAATATTCATGGTGGTACCCGCGACGCCAAATGTCTTCTCAGAAGTAGATAGATGTAAAGGAAGAATATTGTGAGAGGCAAGTAGAACGTGCCACTACCCTGAACGAAAAGGTACTCACTAAGATGTCCGCTAATCGATCAATCAGCGTTGAGCGAGGTTCAAACAATCAGGATAAGCCTACAGTAGCGAATTACAACACGGTGTTCATCAAATGTCTAGTAATTGTAGAGGCAACTTTGCTTCCAAATTTACCTGGTTTAAGAGTCGCTTGCCGAATCCATTTGGGGCGCCGCTTTGGAATGTGCTCATTGAGTCAGACACCTGGATTTCGATTAGTGCGCCCAGTATAACTGTCTCCACAGCTACACGTGCATTTGTATAGGTAATGGGACGTGCGCTGCTTCGACACCGGTGTCTTTACCGGCTACTTGAGAACTGATTCAGTAAATGCTTCTGTTTAATCCTTTAAGCTTGAAGATAAACCGCTAAAATTAGCAACCTTGAGCAACATCTCGGAACATGCCTCAACGATCGACATTAATGTCGACATAATAAAACTCATGGTTGCCTCTTAACAACCATCTTATAGACCTGACTTCAATATGAGCTCATCCGCTTTGCTAAAACACTAAATATTACTCACTGCTCCTCTAGTTCTGTCAATTTCTCGAACACTGTACCAAAACATAAGTCGAGGTCAATACCGACCTACGGAATTACCGTCCCAGAAGCAACCCTGACTCTCTCTCGGGCACTTTATGGAAAATTGTTAAGAATTATCCGTTTTCGTTCCTATTACCGAATTACGTTCTCATACCTTCGCAGCACAGCCTTGGAAAGCTCCCTTTGGTTTGTGGCCTGTCAAGCAGACTTCATTAATCATCTAACTGAAGTTATTGGTTCAGGTCTTCGGTGCGTTGTTAACGATCTTGACATATAAGGTGTGCTTGACAAACTACTACACCAGAGGCGGTTGTATACATCAAGTACATTCGGTGTTACGAATCCGATTCTCTCTTCCTAGGACGATGGTAAGTTATGGATATAGGTGTGAACCTTTCGCCACCCCTTGGTGCAGTGGTGGTGCCGTGCAGTGGTTTTGGTCCCTTTCTCTTCCTGCTTTTTATAAATTAACTTATCTCTGTTATACAACTTGGAAACACTTATTTGCTTGCTGGTGATCTAAAGTTATTTTACGTGTTTCCAACTTCTCGACATACGGCCGAAATCAACAGTAACCAAAGCTATTCGAAAGTTTGCAAGAGATGGGTTGCCATGTGACAGATGAAGTTTACAAAATTGTATGGTAATATTCTGGTATATGAATGCCAGATGAAAGAAAGATTATTCAGGTTTTATGAAAAGTCATTCCCATCAGCCAGTCCGCTCGTTGCTAATGTTTGACTTACTTCAGTTCGTTAAACTTTAGCGAACATACTAATTATATCGTGATAATTGTTACGCAATTGATTATACTGATGTCTACCTACTAACGTTTGAAAGAAACAAGACAAAATTTTTATAAATGGTATTATACTTCTGCTTGCATGTAGCTGTGTTACATTTAGCAACCTACGAGAGTATGGTTTGAGGGTTTTTTTAAAGTTTACATGCATTCACAAAGCGTCTTCTTGCTTATTGAACCGCACTTTTGTATGGAGATAGGTGTAATGAGTTTAGTCTTGAACCTCAGTGGTTCCGAAGACTGCACTGTTATCTGTGTTTCCTCCAAAACCTGTATAACAGAAAGTATATGTTGGAATTTAAAAACTGCGATTTCGGGGATAGATCAATTATGAGGTGCTAACTGATGAATGTGAAGTCCAATTGTCTAGATCCAACACTAGTGTAAACCAAGATGCCTATCTCCTTAGGTTCGGCTCTGTATGGAACAAGCTGCCAATAGGGATCAGATGTATAGAACATTTCTGCATGTTCAGAAAAGACAAAAATTTATCTATCTACTGAAAGGGGGCTAGATGTGACGAGAGTGGACAGCCGAATCACAGCTTGTCAAAACACGCGGACTGTTGGGCCGAACACCATGAGAGGCAGTTCAATCAGTCAGTATTGCCACCTTCTGCATCGGCCAATGAGCACCCTACACTCTGGGCGGTCCACTTGTGTCCGCCCACACGGGCAGAAGTCGAAAATGAGATCCGACTGTCAAAGTTGATCAAGGCTGCTGGAGCAGATGGACTTCATACAGCTCTCTTCAGATTCGGCGGATCAGCTCTTTGGAAGAGTTACATAAGTTGTTACGGAATCCTTGGGAGCATCTTCATCATCATCAACATCAGCAACAACGGTACATCAGCCATTTGAACTGATGCTTCGCTGCCATACAACCATGACGACCTATGAAATAAAGAATAAGAAGAGGGAGAGAAGGGAGACTTACCTGAAAACCTTAATGTCCTAAGCAAACACTCAGGGTCAAGGCGCCTACACCTTGTGTAGGCGCTATCGTGCAAAGATAAGGCACGGACTGTCCCAAAAGGCTGGCGTCGGTCCGTTATAGTAATAATTTGGAAGGGAGGCTCCAGTTCAAAATGCGGCAGTCATAAAGGAATCAGTCTGATCACTATTACTTCTAAGTTATTTGCATCCGTCTTCCTCTGTAGACTGACTGGCATACGTGAAACCCAGATGCACGAGTAGCAGACCTGGTTTCCTCAAATTCGAGGTTTCATTGACCACCTGTTCACCTCACCTCAGTTGTTGTCGCATTGCCATGTTTATTGCCGACCCACCGTAGTCGTGTTCCTCGACATCGAAGGTGTCTTCGATTCGGTTACTTGTTGTGTCCGAGAAATATGTAAATATCATAAGACTGATGAACAATAGTGCGGATTTTGGTATAATCCGGTTAATTCATCATTGCTCTGTCAACCAGCAGACTTAGTCTGGTCTGGAAAAGCACCAGACTCTTGCGTTTCGACCTTATGGGACTCGTCAGTGGTGCGCCTCCCAGCGGATCTAGAATAGCAATAAAGAATTAGCTGAGTTATAACAAAATCCTCGCTACTCCTCAGTAATATATAAAAATCCTGTCCGTACAACATTCAAGTCCGTTTGCCGTGCCGGGGCGCTATGCGGAAAGTCCCAGCTTGTGAAG